TTTTTTTTTTTTTTTTTTTTTAAGGCACCTCATAAAAGCAGAGGGAATAATATTTCTCCAGGAAGCCTACAGACCGAGGAGTGTTTCTTGGTCAATAGTTTGCATTTCCGGTAAAATTGTGAGAAATCGAGGAGCCTGGCAGGCCATCCGGGAGGAAGATGTATATATACACACACATATATTTATTTTATAAAATGGAGCTGAACATATTAAAAAACAATAAAGTCAAATCGTTCACCTGTGAGCTGAGGACTGGGAAACTTTATTTTACTTCGTTGCAAAAAAAAAAAAAAAATTAAGTGAGAGAAAGACTCGGGGCACCCATAAAAAATATAGTGTTTCAGAAGTAGAACTATTCAAGAGACTAGGAACCTGGTTTGTGCTTTGCCTCTGATTGTGAATTCATCAGGAGAGCATACCATTCATAGATGACGCACACAAACACTTTTCTTTTGTTCCTTTATTGAAAATGAATGGCACGTCTCCACTGCCTTCTCTCGCCTCCCCAAAGCTGAGCGCCCTCGGATTCTCTCACACCCCTTTCCCGGGAATCAGGCAAGCGCCTGACGGAACAGGGGTAGGGTGGGGGCCCAAACCACGCAAGTTGTATCTTTGTTCTTCCCTACCCAACCGAGGGACGACCTCCAGAAGAATTCTGACCAGCCTTTAGCCCTTCTTATGAGCGTCCTTCCCCCTCCAGGGGAAGCGGGTAAGTGCGATCCGATCGCCCGAGGTGTTGGGGGAATAAATATTCAGTCCACAGATGAACTGACTTTCCGGGGTACCCAGAGGAAAGGGGAAAGCTTTGAAGGGCGCCGACCTCGGGTCGCTCCAGGTCAGTATCTCGACCGGATCAGCTCTGGAGGTGTCCCAGCCGTTTGGGATGGCTTACCCCGTCCTCCCACGGAGCCCTGGTGCCCCAGTCACCTTATCAAACGCCAGCCAAACAAAAAGGACCGGCGCAGAGTAAGTCAGCCTGGAGAGTCCCCAAGAGGCTTTGGCGGGAGCGGGAGGTGGGCACTGCGCCCCGGGGCTGGCGATCCAGCGGACGGGGCTGGGGGCAGCTTCCTCGCCCCGAGCGCGCCCTGCCCCGCGCCGCGGACGCGCGTCTTGGGGCGCAGCCCCCGCGGGTAGCAGGCTCGGGTTTCCCCTCGCGGGCTCTGCCTGGGCCGGGCGGCTGGCTGCATTGTTCCCGGCTTCGGGGAGCGCGGGAGCCGGCTTGTCCAAGGGAATTCATCTCTGGGAAAAGGGAGAGGCACTGCGCAGCTGGACGTGGGGGCCGCAAGCGTCGACGCGGCTGGGGGATGCGGGAAATTAGCGGAACGAGGCCGCTCTGTTTCCCCGAACCCCACAAAACTGCTCACGGGGCCGCCGACGAGTTGCCGAACCCGCGGCGCACTTAGAGGATTACATTCTCAAGGTATTTGCCCCTTCCCCACCCGGACACTCCCCTGCAAGCCGGCGCGGCCTGCCTCCTCCGTGGAGGCGAGGGGCATTCATTCAGTTTCCAGAATTTGCCTCTAA